GAGAGAGAGAGAGAGAGAGAGAGAGAGAGAGAGAGAGAGAGAGGAAAGAGAGAGAGAGCAGGGGGGAGAGAGGTGTCGTGCTGGCGTCACAGTAGAAGCAGTCTTTAGGCCGAGCGTCAGCAGAAGACGCCGCGCACGCCGTGCACCCCACGGTGGAGCAATCAGCGAGAGTGTGGGTGGAGGGGGGGGGGGGTGATTTTATTCTTAGAGTCGCACCGAGAGGCGCGTGGCCGAGCCGCCGTTCGTTCACCTTCACCCACCGTTCGTTCGTGTGTCGAACGCCTCGTCGTCGTCATTATCAGGAGCACTGACACACATTCGCGGCCGCAATAGTATATATACAGCAGTCACGGGCATGACTCATGTGACTCGCGCGACACTTCGTCGTATAAGGAGCAGTCCAACTAACATAGTTGTTATTATTGTTATTATTAGTTATTGGGAATTCAGTCAGGTCCCCGGCGAGGGGTCAAACCCGCTGCAGCAGTGCTGCAGCAGACAGGCAGGCAAGCAGCGGCAGACATTCGGGCGCCGCTGCCATGATGGTGTTGTTGACTTCCCCGTCGTCGCCGCCCTGCCCCACCACCACCACCACCACCACCACCACCGCCTCCTGCTCCGTCTCGCACTACGAGAGGGCGGCACGGCGTGCACCACCGCGGTCGGTCGGTCCGCCGCGTCGTCGTCGCGGTTGGGAAATAATTTAGTCGTAGTCCAACAAAAACCTTATCGGCGGCGCCTCCCACTCGAGTCACGATCGCTATCAGAAGTGAAATAAGAAACCTCGCGGCACCACGACGGACACGCACACCTCACCGACGACCACGGGCAATTTTAATTTTCCTAGTAAAGAATTTTTAGGATTTTTTTTTTTGCGAATTGCAAAAAAAAAAAATCTTTAAAGTTTCTTTTTGTTTCATTTTTTTTTCAATTTTCTTCTGAAAAGGTTTCTAACTTATTTTCCGTGAAATTTTTGGACTGTAAGATCTCTAACTGTGGAATTGCACGCTCCGGTACAAGTAGTGCGACGTGGCCGTCAATATCAGGAAACTGATGTCATACGCGAGCACAAAGTTCTGTTTTCGTGAATTGTAGGGCGATAGGGGGAAAGGGGGGGGGGGGTGTCAGCCACTTTACTAATTATCGAATGGCACTAGCAAGCCAGAGGTTGAACACGGGGAGTGAGAGGCGAATAACGACAGCTCAGCGTCTGCCGCCTGCGAAACTCGGGGTAGGCCTACCCGCAGTGCACGCATGCACTGCAGGTGAGGTGTTGCCTACCTGGCAGGCGCCATGTGAGTTCTGTAGAGGCTCGACTCGGCGCAGTTTTCGTAAATTTACGCGGCGGATAACTGACGGCTCATATACTTTCTGCCCGATCCCATAGCACACTACTTCTTGCATACAGCACGTCCCTGCACCGCTCTCGCTCTCTGACTCGCCGATGACGTCACTGAGCGGATAGATAGGCAGGTTCTGCTCTGCCCTTGACCTTCGGCAATGTCTTCCCCCGTCGCATTATATTATACGAGTCGGATTGGAACAATAAAAGCGGATTATTATATTTGGAAATCATTTTTTTCTGATGTTTTGGCCGGTTCTCTTTCCTTTGTTTGTTGTGTGATGTGGTTTGCTCACCCTTTTCTTTTTCTGATCCGCACAGGCTCTCGATGGTGTGGCAGCTGCCCCAGCTGGAGCACCTGGACGAGCGGAGGGTGACGGAGGCGGAGCGCGCCCGCTCCAAGCACCTGCAGCTGCGCGCCATCTACAACAGCTGCAGCCGCCTGCCGTCCAGCTCGGCGCCCGCGCTCACGCCGCAGCCGCTGCGCAGGAACACCTGCATATAAGAAAGATACCATTGTTATTATTAATTTAATTATTATTAGTGTTGTTATAACTAGCACTTGTAATTGAATGTGCTTTCTGTTGTCATTTTTACTGTTAATTGATCGTGCTTCGTGATGTTTCCCTTGGAGGCATTGTCCATTCGACTGATTTCTATGTGCGCTTAATAATTCGTGTGTTTTGTTTCTGCGTTGTTGTTGTTTGTTGTTATTATTATTAGTGTAACTGTTATTGTTTGCAACCCCGTCCCTCACACGCCTCGTTGTTAGTGAAAAAATCGTATTGCTGTTAGTTTAGGTGGCCATCGTTAAAAATGGACGGACCACTTAAAAGCCCCGTAATTTATTGCCTTAATTGTAAGCTAGTGAATCAAATTAGATCATCAAGTGAAACGGGAGAAAATGATAAGTACGACCGTTTTCGCCGCATTTGTAAATACTCGCATATCATAATATATTTAGCGTTGTTCATGATAATAAAAAAGCATAGACGAATATGTATACTTCTCGAGCCAATTGTGTCTTTTTTCGTCTTTACCTTTCCCATATCTAATGAAAGCCCCAAGGAAGGGGGTGTGCACCAAAATCCTCTGAAATCACAAACCCAAACAAAAAATATGACACAAAAATTCAGGGGTACAAAATTGATTGTTATTGTGGCGCAGAGAACGTCACACCACGACGATCGGCG